GGGGACGGGAAGAAGGCTCTTTTGCCACAGGTAAATTAGGGGAAAACAACCAATGCCCAAAGTCAGCATCCACAGTACTATGTGTCCATGTGCTAGGACACACCCACCACCACGTACTAAGACATACCACCATCCCCATGCTAGGACACACCCCCATCATACTAGGACACACTATCATCTACATACTGGGACACATCCACCATCCATGTACTAGGACACATCCATTGTCCATGTTCTAGGACATACCACCATCCATGTACTAGGACATACCACCATCCATGTACTAGGACATACCCACCATCTTCTTCCTCTACTATATACCTCCTTATGGTTGCATGGCAAAGGGCCATGTCATGTATTTTTGATAAAACAGGAGACATGAGGATTCACAAGGCAGCGCAATCAGATAAAGCAAAACTCAGAAGCTTCTGCACAACAAAATAGTACTGTGTGCCTCGGGATGCAACGTCTAAGAGACAAAGGGAAGATGAGCAACAAGGAGGGTAAATCCACATCATGACACCTCCACGTCCTAGAGCCTGAGCAGAAGAGGGGGATGCTAGGAAGGGGAACTGGGTAAAATCTGAACATGACTATGTACCTAGCTAACAGCATTAAATAAACATTGAACTTCCTGACAGTGATTATTTGTTCTGAAGAGACTCAAGTGAAATCTGACAGGCGAGAGCTTAGAGTCAGAGGTTCAGGAAAAGGAGGTAAAGAGGTAAAATGCTAGATCTACAGCAAGTGTAGCAAATAACAAAAAGTGATTCTAAATAGCAGGTAGAGATTGGTTTCATGAGCCTTGCAGTGATTCTAGAAATTTAAATATTACCAAAATAGTTTGCTTTGCAAAAGAAAAACCCAAACAGATGCAAAATCATTTCTTTACTATAATCCCTGTAACTACCTAGAGTTACACATTATCACTGGATTACCTGCTGTTCTGGAAGATTTAACAACCACAGAAACACAACCCTGACTTGGGCAGCCATATTTAAGGATAAAATAATGAGTAGGCCATTATACAAACACCTAAGAGTTATAACCCCAGCATCTACACATTTAACTTTCCTTATTCAAACCCTGAGCTATTTTCAGAGAGTGAAGACTGAGCGAAGCCAAGTATAGTTTCCGATCCTGAGGCCAATCTTGCTGTTTGCCTCACGACTTCCCATGTGTGACTTAGCAGAGTGAGTGATGCTCTCTGGGTGGGCTGCAGAACATCTGCTTTAAAGTTCTTGAAGCTCTCTGCCTGTGCCCAAGTGATCATCACCTCTTCTAAGGAGGACACGTGTGTCTGCAACATTCTTGCAAATAGCAGTGCTAACCCAACCTAGCGGCTCAGAACCTAGAGGCAATTTGCCCTGCCCAACTGCCAACACACTTAGCAGTAATCAATAAACAGTGTACAGATAACAGAGCCCTCTTCCAATGACCCTTAACTGCTCAAGCATTTAGAAGTCATTTACAGTATGGGCTCCGTTCCAATCCATTCTCACCGGTTCCTCCCAAACTCTTCCTGCCTTCCTCTAGGCCCCAAAGTCCCACAGGCGATCAGGCCTCTTTGCAGCTGTCCAGCTCCAAGATGATTCAGGATGTCTTCATTTGGGTGCTAGATGCATAGGAGAAATTAACTCCTAATTCTATAACTTAGTGGAGGAAAATATGTACCTAGATATATATTTTTTATCTTTAGACATATGTTTATCTAGATGTATCTCAATATTTATCAAATATCTAGATATATATTTTCCCAAGTATGACTATATAGTCATATTTGTGATATATAGTCATATGATATATAGTCACCTTTCTACCTCCTCAAAGGTGGATAATGGGGGTGGTGGATAACAGGGGAGGTGGATAATGGGGGTGGTGGATAATGGGGTGGTAGATAATGGGGATGATGGATAATGGGGGTGGATAATGGGGGGTGGATAATGGGGTGGTAGATACAGGGCAGTGGAGAATGGGGGTGATGGATAATGGGGGTGGATAATGGGGTGGTAGATAATGGGGTGATGGATAATGGGAGCAGGAGCTTTGGAAGGGATCAGTCACTAATCAGGGAATATCCAGATTGGTGTCCTTGGTGTTTCATAGAGCATGTCTTGCGGGGAGAGGGCGGCAGTGATAACGATGACTCAATTCTTATTTAAGGCATCTCAATTTCCCCACAAAGCAAAGGCAGTGATGTCATTCATGGTGGAAAGCTTCTGGGGTGACATATGGTAGCTCTGAGACATCTCCCAGCAAGGAGTCTCATGCCTAGTGGCCAATCTGTCTCTACTTCAGCCTCCATTGAGACTTAGCTCCAGGCCTAGTATGGGGGGGGGGGGGAATTGAGGAGAAGAGGATGATGATAAAGCAGAAGATGTGGGAAGTCCTAGATGCAGCCTCTGGCTGGCAGCCTGAGGAGGAGAAGAATGGTAGGTACAGAGGTGATGCTATCTGAGATCAGGGAGGTCGTGGAACTCTTCTCTCTGCCGCACCCACTCCCCCTAGGGGAGGCTCCAGTTGAGGCCGAGAGAGGGGAAGAGCGCAGGCTTTTTATTTCCCCGTGGTCCCTTAAGGCCTGTGTGGTTTGGGCAGGCTCCAGAATCTCCCACAAGCTCCTCCAACCAAACCCTAGCTCTCACCTGGCATCACAACTGGGGAATTTGCAGTGAGCTGATGTGGTGAGGAAGGAATCAGGGCTGAAGCCTGGACCATCTGATCCAGACTCATAGGTGGGTCCTGGGCACTGCCTGGGGAGAGGGAGGCCAAGGTAGACAAGCAAGGCCCCAGCCCACCTGTCAGCAGAAGGTAGCAGGGAACTCTACCTCAGGGGCCACCAGAGCCTCACAAACACAGACACCATCATGTGGAGGACAGAGGACACCAGAATGAATATTTCACTCAAAGGAACTAAATCAAGCCAAATATAGTGATGTACACCTGCAACCCAGAGCTCAGGAGGCTAAGGCAGGAGGAGAGTCAGTTCAAGGCCAGTCTAGACACAGTCTGAAAAGGGGAGCAGTTGGAGGGGAGAGAAGGAATAGAGATTAAGCATAGGGGGCTCAAAAGCACTGCCCACATGTAAGGCTCCTCGTTGACTTCAAATGTGGGGTATCTCCTTGGTACTTGGTAAACTAGTATCTCCCAAGGAAGATGTGTTCCTCGCAAAGACAATTAAAAAGCTCCCTTTTCCTGCTCTTCTCCAGGCTGTGACCCCATGCCACAATGTCTGTGGAATCCAGTCCCTGCTAAGTAACAAGGACAAATCCTCTACCCGCTAATAAATTGGGGAACCAGAAAAAGTGGGAGTCAGGGTACAACACCACCTGCTGTGGCTTCTGGGACTGTAGAACCTCTCCCAGTGTCTGTCTGTCTGTCTGTCTGTCTGTCTGTCTGTCTGTCTGTTTGTGGCCAGGGTAGGGACTGGGTCTTGGCAGGTGACAGGAAGTAGAGCAGGATGGGGGCTGATCCTCAAGCTGGAGGCCAGTAGGAGTAGCTCAAGAGAACATGTCCAAGAAAAGACTTCCTAATAATTTTTCCCTTCAGGCCTAATGCCATTTGGGCCTTGTTTGAGAGTGAGAGCTGAAGGCTGGGTGTCCTGACCCTCCATCCCCAAGGCCTAGGTCTGCCCGGGAGGGAGGAAATAGAGTACCCAACGCTGTACTCACTCTGTGTCTTCAATGTCATGGCCAACCCCACTCGGAGCTGGGAGACAGTGACAAACAGTGACAGTTTCTGAGCCAACTAAGACATGTAGCGTGTTAACGATCGCATACACAAATCCCCCGATTGAACATGCACACGCACATGCAGGGCAGGGTGGCTGAGAGGACCAGGATTGCGCAGTTGGAGAGCAGGGCCCAAGTCTCCAACCTCCGCAGAGGGACACCTGCCCCCTAGTGGTCAGAAGAACCATCTTCCATTCTGACGCTCACCTGAAGTCTCCAAGCCCTGGAGGCCACTGTGAATTTTCCTCCTGGGTCTCTGACATCTGGAGTCAGCATTGTTTAGGGATATTTCAATGGTGTGGATAACATAGGACTAGGAGTATGACATTCTTTCTGTGAGCGCCTCTTTCTAGCTGTTCACTGGGAAAGACCAAGAACCCAGGAGAAGTAGAAAGATCACGAGGAGGACACTATGAGACTGGTTCCAATGGCCACGAAAACCACTAGCTGTCCAGTCGTCCTACAGCCCCTTCAGGTGAGCGGACTTCATTTCATGTAGAACCTCATAAAGCAGTAGCCAAACTTGTTCTACAAACAGGAAACACAATTGCCTGCAATTCTGCCTCACCAATGTCGCCACCACAGTTACTATTCCCTCTCCTTGTCAGAATTCATTGCAGTTCTATCTACACAAGAAGCTTCCCAGTAAGCTGCGCACCAGTGGCTCACACCTGTCATCCTAGCTACCCAGGAGGCTGAAATCTGAGGATCGAAGTTCAAGGCCAGCCTGGGCAGAAAACTCTATGAGACTCTTATTTCCAATTAACCACTAAACTGCCAGAAGTGGAGCAGACGAGGTAAAGCACAAACCTTGAGCCAAAGAAGCTCAAGTAGAGCATCTGGGCTCTGAGTTGAAGCCCCAGGACCAGCACAAAACTAAAAGAGAACAGAGTATCAGCAGCCAACACAGATGGAAATTTCTTAGTTCATTTCAGTCATCCATTCATCTCTCAGTGCCAGAATCCCAACCACAGAAGACCCAGAGATGGATGAAATATGCCCTATATTTCCTGTGCATTTATCTGTCTATATCATCTCCTTTGGAGCAAAAGCTTATTAATGTGACTCAAATTGCCAACATTGGGCAATCCTAGCATTCAAAGGCCAATACCACTGAAATACCAACAGCAACTTAACTTCAGGAGCTGCACCCGCAGCCCAGCTCACACTGACTCTGATTCTACTTTACAAAAGAAGTCACTCATTATAATATGGTTGCATGGAACAATTCCCTGGCTCATAAGAAGGAATCAACTGAGTTTCTCGCCAAACCTGAACGACGTCTTCACCAAGGCCTCTGGGCTGTCCAGCGGTGGCAGCTCATCAGCCAGGATCTCCTCTGGGGGCCGGGGGTCATGAACGATGGCAGGCCGAGCTTTCTCCTTGGTGTTCCCTGTGAGCCCATCGATGAGCGAGTTCCACAGGCAGTTCTGTGACTTTGACCCTAGGGGAGAGGGGAAAGATTTGTGGTGAGTCCCCAGCCAAGGTCCAGACTCCACACCAGCCTCTCCTGGGGCCCAGACTAGCCAGAGGCCAGGTCTCAGGATTCTATAGAGACATCCCCCAAAAGGAACCCATTGCTAAGCGTCACTGCTCACCAAGGAGCCTGTATGCATGCGCCCTACAAATACTTCAACAGGAGATACATGTGAGAGACTAACATCCAGAGGGAATGCGGTTGGAGAACAGAATGTGATTAGCCCAGCGATCCAAGTCAGTGCCAACAATGGCACATTGCACTGACAGCCCAGCCATCTCCCTCATCCAAATGTACAACCCAATGGATCTGCACACCCCTAGCTTCTGTCAACGTTGTGCTTTGTCACCAGCCAGCAGCAGCCTCTTACATGATGACTGAGTGTAGACAGATGCTTAGTGATGACTGAGCATGCACAGACTCTGAGTGTACATGGGCACTTAGGTGGTGACTGAACAAACATGGACTCTATGTGAGGACTGAGTATACATGATGTCTTTGATGCAGAAATATGTTTGGTAAAATCCAACCTCAGCTAGCAATCATTGTCAGTCTTGGTTCATCATTCATAGGACACGTGCTACACAAATGTACAAAGTTAGTAATGAAGAACATCCTCATCCACTCTGAGTTCTATGAAGAACTTGGTTTTCTACTGCTGGGTCAGGACACAGTAACTCTAAATCATATTGCATGTGTGTGATGTAACCTGTGTGTGATATAATTAGTAGTCATAAGGGGGCTGCTGGGACCAGAGATCTCACTTTCTGGAAAAGAAAACCAGCAGATGGGGGGGGGATGCCACAAAATCCAGTGGTATCAGATATGAAGGTCAATATCTGTGCAGACCTATGATTGCATTTGGCAAGCCTTGAGGAGATGCTTGATGACTGAACTATTTAGTAAATGATGAACTATTTTTCAAACAGCAGAAATATGAGCAAGAAGAGTTTCGAATACAAATCAAGAAATCTAGAAATGACAGCCCCTCCCCAACCTCACACATTCTGGGTCATTATCTACCTGCCCTAATCCCATAGTAGACAAAGTCCACTATGAGAGAGCCAGGGACATCCTGGAGCCCACCGGAATGGTTCTGCTTAGCTCTTGCTCAGCAGGCCTCCCACTTTCTCCCTAGCTGGTGAACCCATCTTAATGTACCCCTGCCTGACCTCCCCCATGACTTGTGTGTCCCCTTCTCTTGGTATTTATAAGTGTCCATGTCTAGTGTCAGTAATAACAAAACCTACAGAGGGAGGTAAGCCAAGTTGGCTCTACTGGGGTCTCCAGTACAGGAATATTCCCACAACTCCTCTGAGCAGTGGGAGAAACAGCATCTACTGCTAGCTGGCATGGCCACATGCAAGAAGAACCCCACCAGGATTAACTCTTTAGCTTTTCTGGTCTATTCACAAGCACGGGATAATTTCCACACCATTGGAGAATTCCTAGGGAAGAAACAGAAAACATGGTGTGGCCAGAAAAATTGAAACCAGGCTGGAGAGATGCCTGTACACAGTGTCTTTGTAGGCCCGCAGACTTAAATACAGCCGGCATCCGGACCGCCACTCATTCATACCTCAGAGGGCTGTGAGTGGGTTCTACGTTGCCTTATCATCCCAACTCAACCTGGGGTGAATCTTTTAGAGCAAATTCTCTCTGGGAAAGAGTGGGAAAGAACTCTTCCTCTGATCCTATATGAATGGGGGGCTGGGATACTCTCCAGGGAGATTGGAAAGGTCTTCTCTGACAACGTGAAAAATAAAAAGTCCCCTGCGCTGGGTTATTTTAAGCTTATTTCGCAAGCATGAAATGCTTCTGACTAAATAGAGGCAAAAACATGGACACTGAGAGAGTCACACTGGTCTTTTTCAATAATAGCAAAAAAAAAACCATGAGGGGAACCATAGGTAAACTAAGCTTCAGGGAACAAAAAGCAATGTGGCTCAGATGCCAGGAGGAACCAGATTGCCCAGCCCCCCCCCATTCATCTGCTTCCCTGCCTGCTCCCTCCCCCCCAGTTACTCAGAATTCAATGCCTGCTGCACTTTCCTCCCCTCACTCTTCCCTCTGTCCCTGCCATAACATTCCTCCTTTCTGTCTTCACAAAGACAACTTTTCACATCCCCCATAAACCTTAAGCCTTGAGACCAATGATAAAGTCCATCAACTTTGCTGGTGGCATCTGTGCCTCTGAGTAGGTTTGGTCATTCCCCTCCCCCAAGCCCTCACCCTCCAATCATGTGAGAGCACTGTGCTTTCTACATCCTGGGCATTGCAGTGATGCCTCAACCTGGGTTACCTACGTAATCACCAAATGAAGCCTTCCAAGCAAGTGTCACTCAATTCTTCTTCTTATTATTTTCACTCAAACAGTAATGAGCACTCAGACACGAAGGCTTCAAGAGATCACAGAATTGGAAAACAGCAGATTGTTCACCCCAGAGCACTGTGTGACACAGCACGCCACGTGCTGTAACCAGCAAATGTGTGCTACGGCATCTCAGGCAGAATGTCCTGCACCTGGCAGAGCCCAAGCAGAATGTTCCACATGCTGGAAAGAGATGTAAGAAACCCTAGTCCCTTAGTCTGAGGAGGAAGAGCCTGGACCCTGCCCTGTCCCTTGCTAGAACAGTTCGAGCTTCAGAAAAGGAAGTTCTGCAGCTCAAAAAGGAAGTTCTGCCGTGGGAAACAGGGATGAATAAGGTCAGGTAAATGTAATGGGTTGAGAAAAGACAAGGAAGCAAAGAAAGGAGTGGGGGGCATTGAAATCAGAAGTAACTTCAGGCCATGGCTAGAAAAGGATCTGAGAAGTATGAGATCAGAGGTAACTATAGCTTCGTTGCAAGAAAACAAGGGAAGAAGTAGCAAAATCAGAAATAATGATAGGTTTGCTTCACGGTGCGGCTATTCCAATATTCAAGTGATTTTTCCACTCAGTTCTGGATGAAAACCTACAAAGACTCCACTGGAAGAAAGCTAAGAATTTAAAGTCCAGCAAATTACAGCGAAAAGAAGTGATTTAACTCACCAGAAAGGAGATTTAAAAAAAAAATCTCGATGGTTCCCAAAATAGCTGTGGCCTGAGGAGGAGGCGCAGGACTCTTCAGGTTTAGAAGGAGGCTCCTAAACCCCAAGCGGACCAGAATACACAGGAACCAGAAGGAATGAAACAAACCCAGATAAGAAGCTTGATGTTGGGGCTGGGAAGGTGGCTCAGTGGTAGAGCGCTTGCCTTGCATGCCTGAGGCCCTGGGTTCGATTCCTCAGCACCACATAAGCAAAAAGAAAAAAGCAGGAAGTGACGCTGTGGCTCAAGTGGTAGAGCACTAGCCTTGAGCTGAAGAGCTGAGGGACAGCGCCCAGACCCAGAGTTCAGGCCCCACGACTGGACCCCCCCCCCAAAAAAAAGAACCTTGATGCTCACTAAAACCCACCAGTAGTGACAATATGGAAGATTAAGTATTAATAATAGCTGAATTCAGTCACGTGGCATCTGTTCTATTATTTTCAATATACTAATTCTCACTTGTAGTAGCTTGTCAGGAATTCTTTCTCCTGCAATTTTGAAGAGATACAAAACTTTGCCCCCATATTTTGTACACTTTAGGGCACAAGGGCTGGCTTCCTCATCAAAATATAAGAAACCATTCGACCTGGGATGACTATGCTGAATTCTTAAATGTATTACAGTTTATTTCTGAGTTCTCCTGTTTAATGTGTGTGTGTGCGTGCGCATGCATGCGCGCGCACACATGTGCACATGCATGTGTGCATATGTATGACTACATCACAATATGGTGAGCTGTATCTGCTTTTCAGTATCAAGATATAATTTCTATCTACAAATGTCTCTGTAAGGCTCACGTGATAAAGGCTCAGAGATAGTCGGCTGGTGGGTGTCTGGACCATTAACTTCATCAGTGGATGCATCCACTGAAGCGCTCCTGGGTGAATGAATGGAAGTCACTAGGGAAGGCCTTTATTTTTTTCTTTTCTTTTTTTTATTATTAAGTGTTTTTTATTGTGAAAATACCATACAGAGGGGTTACAATTACATAAGCAAGGTAATGAGTACATTTCTTATCAAGTATTGCTGCCTCCTCCTTTGTTTCCCCTTACCATCGCTGCCTTCAAATCCCCCCCTAAAGTTGTAAAGTTCATTTTTCAACATAGCATCTTGTATATCTCATTGTTGCAATGGATCTACCTGTATCCCTATTTAAACAATTTGTTTTTTCCCCTTCCACTGCACAAATTATACCTATATCAAATACACTGAATACAGAGGTTATACTGTTGGAAAGGGACATACAAAGCAACAAAGAAATCATCTTATAAATACGTTAGAAACAATAGCAAGAAAGAAAAAACATTTGAGTCCTTATCTTGGGGTTCATTTCGCCTAACATCAACTTATCTGACCGTTTCTGCTTGTCTCAGGCATATACTAGTTATTGCAAATAAGGGAAACCATGGGTCCTATGTTTCTTTGGACCTGGCTTACTTCACTTAATATAATTTTTAGGGAAGGCCTTTATAAAGCAGCCTTTCCCCCCAGGCCTCCAGGCCCTTCCTCCTGTCTCCTTGTTTCCCAGATGCCACAACGTGATTAGCCTTTGCCTGCCGCCATGACGTTCTGCTTCACCACAGCCCAAAAGCAATGGAACCAACCACCACAGACTGCCACCTCTGAAACCACAGGATAAAGCAGATCTTTCCTCCTTCTAAGTCAATTACCTCAGGCATTTTGTCAAAGCAGAGAAAAACAGATAACACACTAGTTTTGTACCTGTGATGATAGTTCAAGACCTCATTATTTCTCTTCTTGCTTATCCTTACTGAGTGATTAAAATCATATTCTCAGTCCCTTGTATAAATGATTTTTGTTTCTTTCAAAGCTTTTATCCTGGAAACTTTTATAAGTTTTCTTTACTCTTCTTTTAAAAGCTTTCTTCTTGCTCTTC